GTGTTTTGCTCAACTTCTGTAGTGTTTTGAGTGCTTTTACAGCATTTTTGCTCCGGGCCACTGTACACTGAAGTCAACCCCGTCCATCCACAAGTCAAAATGTTGGATTGTTATCTCAAAATTTACACTTGTAATTCAAAACTGAGAAAATAACTTATCTCTGCTAAATTGTGGCAAAAAACTTATTTTTTTCAGTCACGCTTCTATATTTTCCACTTCAATCTTTTAAAGCACTTTAAAGCGCATTTATTGTAGTGAATCTCATTGTACGTCTTTTCTCTCTTTACACTAATCTCAAGTGATGAGCGAAACAGCTGCCCTCCCATCACTTTGTTCTGCCTATTAAATGGGAGCTCACTCCCCCACTGTCGCCAACTGGATCCTTGCCGGGTTTCTGTCTATACAACTGCAATGTCTTTACTTTACAAAGTAATCCCAGGTGCCCTGCAATGTCTGTTGAATGATAAATAAAACTGAACTCAGTTGGATTTGAATGAAATGTTGATATATGAAGTGCCATGAACTTAAACCAAGCACAAGAGACTTATTATTCATGTTCAAACAGAGCTGCTGCTTTTAGCTTTTTTTCTTTGCTTGGCTTTTCCGCTCACTCTTCAGCAGCAGATGGCATTTAAAAAGTCATAAAAACTAGTTACATTTAGCTGTGTGGGCCGTGCAAACCTCAAACAAATGAATGCAGATCAGTCTCTCTCCCTCACCTTGAAATGAAAAATGCATTCTGGTGTCACATGAACCTCTGTGACTCATTAAAGTGGTTTTAAATGTCAACAGTCTCTTCCCTCTCCCTCTCTCTTTCTATCACTGCAGGGAGCCTCAGAACCACTCTGTCCCCTATCACTACTATGAGCCACGTGGCCCAGATGAGTGCGCTATGTACATTTCTCATGAGCGTGGGCGACGGGGCAGTCACCACCGCTTTATAACAGAGAAGCGCGTCTTCGCCAACTGGGCACGGACATTTGACATCCATTTCTACCAGCCGGACTGGAGCCCCCCGCCTCTCCCAGCCAACCGGACGCTTGAGGGGACAGTCACTGCAGCTCCGCTGAAGACGTGACTTTTGTGGGGTTAAAGAAAATGCTTTAGAAATTTGTGTAAGGACTGTAAAGATTTGCATTCAGGGGGTGCGGCACCCTTGAAACAACAAATAAAACATGAAGGAAAATTAGTCATTACAGATGAAAACAGATGCAGCTCCAGCAGTGTTTTGTTTACTGTGGTGAACCAATTCAAACTTGAACAATCCTCACTGAAAGCCTTGTAAAGTGAGGTAATACAAGAAGGCAACATCATTACACACTCTGCTCATGATGCATGCTTGCAATGTCTTACTGTGGACTCTCTAGCTCGTCGTGCATATGTGTGTGTGTATGCATATCTTTACTAGAGGGATCACAGGGGATATAAACTTGAGTCTGGTCTATCAACAAAGTCACTGTTGAATCGTGGATCTGTGCAGGATTCGCTGAAGGATTCGTGGAAAGAAAAATACCATTAGAATGTTTTGAAATCTTGCTACTGGAGGCAGTGCAAGGTGAATACAAATAATGGTGTAGCTCGAGTTAAATTTGGCTATTTGAAAGTGCGAACAGTCACTGTTCAGGTGTGATATTCCTCTGCATTTTTCAAAGATTGGGGAGGTCAAGTTGAATGAGATTTGTTAGACCTCCCATGTCACACAACAAAGGCTCAGACACCTTCAAAGCGTTTTTATAAATCACTTCCCTGACTCATTTAGGCTGCCTTTCAGATGTGTGCATTATGAGCTCACCCTAACTCAAATGTCCCGATGTCGCACAGTCTGGCTGAATGACAAGCGTGTACTGGTAGGTTTTATCCTGTGCGTATGTGTGTGTGTGTGCACCTCCTCTGGTCCCAGATGTATGTATCATAAGGCTTTGTTGGCTCCTGTCACCAGTTAATAGTGAGATCATATAGCTACCAGCTGGGTGTAAACGCACAACCATGTCACACAAGACAGGTAGGAAATTAGGATCGAGGACAGGGATGCAGGAGCAGCTATCCATCCAACTGTGTATCTGCTGCCAGGTCTGAAAGCCCATATCAACAAGAAGGAGAATTACACCGTTTCAATGAATGCTGGGTTTTCTTTTTACTTTTTTTTTTTTTTAAATTAAACTGGTGAGTATGTAATGTGTCACTCTCTTGTTCTCATTTACATACATATACACTCTCCTCTTGTTTAATCCAATATATAGTACATGTAGATTCCTGCTCTTGATTTTCCATCCCTCCTTTCTTGATCCATGAATAAGAATCTGGCATCGATCAGGATAAAGCAATGAGACGTGGGGTTATCTTAATGATACATCCTGGTGCTAAGTCCCTATTGATTTTACTCTCATCTCTGTAATGTGAGTAATGAGAGCAGAGATGCTGTGGGTCAGATACATGGGTGCTCGCACCATGAGGGCATGTTTCACATTACATTTCCTCGGCGGAGACAAAGACACAACTGCTTCTCATACATCATGAACAGCTGCTGCAGGGTCTGCTGCCAGGCTGAGAGTGCTTCTAACTTTGTACTGCAGCGAGAATCTGGATGTTTTTTTTCTTTTCTGGAGAGATGTTCACTCATCCATCAATGACAGTGTTATTTGTGTCTGTTAGCAATATGGTAATTAGTTGAATATTTTTATTTTTTTCGCCTAATTAAACAAATCATGCTGTGTAGGTTTGCAAATACTCACTCTTTCCATTATAGAAGATCGCTTTGGTTTAGAAAATGCAAGAAAACAGTGAAAAATGCTCATCTAAATTACCCAAGCTACCGTGATATTTCCTGATTGTCCAAAATCTGAAGATTTTTATCAAACAGCGATAAAATCCTGAGAAAGAAGCAAATCTCCACCAGTGGTATTTTTGATATCTTTGCTTCATAAATAACTTAAATAGTTTGACACTTTGGAAGATCTGATTATTCCCTTTCTTGCAGAAAGTTAGATGAAAAGACTGTTACCTCTCTTGTGGCTGTAGCCGGTTAGCATAGCACAAGCTGAAAGTCAAATGTAAAAAGAAAATAATAATAATAAAAGCCATCTGCGCTACTATTTGTTTTGTGGTAGTCAAACGAAACATACAGACGCAAGTCTTAACAGTATCCTCACTCCCCCTGTATAAGCATGAATGGTATCAATCTTGTTGTCTGTAAAATCTGTTGTTAGTTTTATGTTGACCAGGTGACTAATCGTTTGAAAACTCAGTAAAGCACCATTTATCGGTAGCTTTGTTGTAAACTAAGTGCTGTAAGACAGAGGTGAAAATGCAGGGGAAAAAATGGAAACTATTTTTGGTACTTGTGTTCAGCAGTGACCAGGAGGGGAAGATGATGTATGTAGGCTGTGTGGAGGCGAGAGAGTCAGTGATTCACCTTCACCCTTGAGTGACGGCAGCTGCCATTTTCACTTTTCAATCTTGTTCTTCCTGTCTGGTTGTGACATCAGGCTGTGTCATACTGAAATAATAATGAAACACGGGACTAGCTACAAGGCTCTCTCATTACTCCCCAGAGCTACAAATAGATTCTTGACCATGTTCATAACTGAGTGTGGGAGCATTTTTTTGTGTTTGAAAATTGCACTGTACTGCCATCTCATAGAAGATGAGGAATATAAATCAAGCTGACAAAGAAAAGGGAATTGAAATGTGCAGTAAAAGGACAATTTAGTTATTAGACTGTGGAGCTTTTACCAGATCAATAAAATCTGCTTAATTCATATTGGGATGATAAAAAGCTCATTGCATTCTCTAATACTCAGAAATATTAACATAACAGAACTGTAATTAAAAATCTTCATCTGAAGTCAGATGTTATACAGTTGTTTTGTCACTAAACAGGATATGCAGGCTTTTAGATTTTTTATATCATATAGAACAAGAAGCGCCCTGAGAGTGCAAACAAGGCAGCTTTCTCTCTGGGCAGGATCTACTTTTAAAGGAATCCTATTAAATTCTGGATATATTTATTTAATTTTATTTGTTCCTTTTAAATGTACTTTAAAATGGAGTGGGTGTAAAATTTATTGTTTGTAGTGCAGTAAAAATAACACGTTATGGGGTCAACTTGAAAGAAAGGCAGATCTGAAATGTGACAGTGGGATCAGAGGTCATTATATAGGACATTATTTGGATATTTTCATGCAAACTGCAATGTGATATTTAGAATCCCCATATTTCATTCCCCTATATACCTGTACGTTGTCACTACGAATAATGGCAGTAAGAAACATATGTTTAAATAGCTCTGCACGGCATTATTATCACTTTGAACTTTAGATCAGTCTTAAAGGACAGATCAAAGGTCAATTGAGCGATTACATTTTAAATCTTTATAAGGTATTTTATGTTTGCTGGAAATACACCTCACACTTGATTTCTAATTTTTAAGGATTTTTGTTAATTTTTGACCAGTAAATCATTA